GAGAAAATAAAAATAAAAATTATAGTTAGACTATAGTAAAATTTCATTAACTCAAAACTAATTTTAAATATTATCCTCTTGGTTATGAAAAAAAAAATGATTATTTTATTTCAATATCCACAGATTTTTATTGAGATGAAGTGTATAAGACAACTGCATTCAGTAGAATTTTGTTTTTGTTTCAATAACAAGATTAAACAACAAAAAAATATATTCACGTAGTTAAAAAAAGCTTTATAAATCGAAATTGATGATGAAATTTTTCCAACTTAGCGAAAAATTCCTTAGTATATAATTGACAAAAAAATATGGACTTTTTTTTTGTTTTTTTGCTAAACAAAAATATGGACTTTTTTAATTACGTCAACGACTTATAACGTAAAAAAAAAGCACAATTGGTCACCTCTACCAAAAGGTTGACTTTGAGATCTCAATAATAGTAACCAGTACTAAGTAGTAACGCGTTTCATACAAAAAAACAATTCCCACTTTCATTTCTTTAATTTAAAAACCACATATATCTTCATTTGATTCCTCATTTTATAATCTGCAAATCAAAAGAAACAAAAAATATATATGCAAAGAATGTTAATGGCGTTTTCTGCTTGTTTTCTCTTAGTTCTTCTGCAAATTTTCTCAGCTTCACTTTTTAGTCTTGCTCAAGATCAGTCAGGTAAAAACCCTAACTATAACATCTTAAACCGGTTTGGTTTGGTTTTCTAAAGATTCTTCTGCTCTTCTTCTTCCTTAGGATTCATCAGTTTGGATTGCGGTTCACCGAAAGGAACTACCTTTCGTGAGAAAACAACAAACCTTACGTACATTTCCGATGCGAATTTCATCAATACCGGTATTGGTAGAAGCATCAAACAAGCATACCGGACTCAATTCCAACAACAAACCTGGTATATAGATAGATAAACTTTTCTCAATACCAACGAATGTTAGCTTAAACCTCACGTTATTCTTTACATTTTGTTTTACTTCTTCCTCAAGGAACCTAAGGAGTTTTCCACAAGGCATAAGAAATTGCTATACCCTAAACCTAACCATAGGTGATGAATATCTGATCAGAACAAACTTCTTACACGGCGGTTATGACGATAAACCATCCACGGAATTCGAGCTCCACCTCGGACCTAACCTATGGACTAAAGTTTCAACAACAAACGAGAACCAAACATCAATCTTTGAGATGATTCATCTTTTGACCACTGATCGGTTACAAATCTGTCTGGTTAAAACAGGAGACTCAACGCCTTTTATCTCCGCTTTAGAGCTTCGTAAACTCATGAACACAACTTACTTGACTCAACAAGGGTCCTTGCAGAACTTCATTAGAGCAGACGTTGGCTCAACTACTAACCAAACTTTCAGGTTTACAAGCCTTAATAAATCTCAATTTTAGAAATCTGAAATTTTTGTTATGAAAAAGCTACTAAATATTGCTCTGTTTTTATTTCTCTGTTTTAGGTACGGAATCGATGTTTTCGATCGTGTTTGGATACCATTTAATTTTGGAAACTGGTCACAGATCAGTACCAATCAGACAGTGAATGTCAACAATGACTATCAACCACCAGAGATTGTTATGGCCACAGCTTCTGTTCCAACAGATCCGGACGAACCTATGAACATTACGCTAGTCGGGGTGGAACGCACAGTGCGATTCTACGTTTTTATGCATTTTGCCGAGATTCAAGAGCTCAGTTCCAATGAAACAAGAGAATTTAATATCGTGTACAACGATAAGCATATCTACGGACCCTTTAGACCGCTCAATTTCACTACTACTTCCGTATTTACCCCTACCGAAGTTGTCGCCGACGCGAATGGACAGTACATTTTTTCGATTCAAAGAACAGGAAATTCGACATTGCCTCCTCTGCTCAATGCCATGGAGGTTTATATGGTTAACTTGTTGTCGCAACAAGAAACCGAAAGAAAAGAAGGTCGG